TCTGGGCCGCACGTGGCCCTCCATGAGTGAGGTGACCACATCTCGCAGGTTCCTCCCATCAACAGCCTGGGGCAGAAGCAGCGGCTTTGCTCTCCGGCGTGGAGCAGGAGCTGCTCCTCTCTGCTCCCCAGGGAGGAACCAGCTTGCTCTGGGATGCTCCTGAGCCCAGGGAGCTCATGCCTCTGCCCCACTTCGCTTGCCCCCCTCCCAGGTGGGCAGCCAGAGGCCTGCCTGCGCCTGGCAGCTCCGCGGTCGGACTGCACCGGGGTGGGCTCGCCGAGCTGGCAGAGCCCCACAAGGCAAACGCTGCCCGAGCGGCCCTTCCGCACGCAGCACATGCGCAGCAGCAGCCGACGCAGACGCTGAACTCGCTCCCAGCGCTGCAGTGCTGGGGGCAGGCGGGATGGCCGCCCGAGCGCTGGGTCACAGACGCTGTGTGCTGGTGCTCTGGAGCCCAGATCACAGGTCCAGCTCTTTGTGCTGCCCGCGAATCCCCTCTTCACAACAAAGAAGTGAGCTTTAAAGCTAGGATGCGGGTGAAATGGGAGGGCACACACGTTCCCACCGTCAGACATCAGCCGAGCTGGTAGGCGCATTGAGCCTTGCCTCCTGGGCTGCTCCTGAGATGCTCCTGTCTCCTGCTCAGGGCAGCGTGGTGGCAGCCCCTCGGAGTGCAGAGAGGTGGTGGCAGGGCAGCAGGAGCTGGGTGCGTGTCCCCCAGGAGCACAGGGGTTTGGCACCCAAATTTCTCCCTGCCTCGGCCATGCTGGGTGCAGCCGTGCCTGACCTGCCTTGGCTGACCACCACTGGTACCTCGAGCACCTTGAGTCCGCAGTGGAGACCCTGCCCGCTGGTCTGGGGTGCTCAGTGGTGCCTCAGGGTGCAGGCCTCTTGCTGTTCTCTTCTCCCACCCTTCCCCAGAGTCCCCCCAGCCCACCCCTCCCCAGCCAGACTTGTGCTGCAGCTCTGCAAGGACAGCTTTTGCAGAAATGATAAGGCTGCAGCCTTACAGCAACACCATCACAGGTCCCACCCTCTGAGCCCCCAGGAGTGGAAGGGGTTTTAGGTTGAAGTGAAACACGTCAAATGGTTGTCGCTCGTTTGCACTCGCACTCACAGCCCTGCTTGCAAGCACTGGGACCTGGGTGCCCAGGCAGTCTGTGTCCACCAAACGCGTAGTGGGTCTGCCCAAAGCTCCCTGTGGTGACACAGAGTACAAAGGGTGCTGGCTGCGGAGTCCTCCTCGGGTTTTGTGACCTTCGGGTTCTGGCAGTGACTGAGCTCTGGTGTCCCTCCATCCTGTCCCATCTCTGCAACTCATCAGGATTTCCTCGATTTTCCTTTCTCTCCTTATCTGGGTGTCTCAGCTCCTGCCCTCTTCTTTGGCTGCCCCCCACCATCCCTGAATGGCCTGAGCTGTTGTTTTGGCCTGGGATTAGGCTGTCCCTTCTTTCAGGGTTATTTGCCCCTGGTGCCCCGAGTGCAGCACTGCTCTTCACAGCACGGGCTCGCGGTGCTCAAGGCTGCTGTTCTCCCCTTGCAGCTAACGAAGCGGGAGACACGGCCCTGGATGTTGCCAGGAGGATGAGACATCCCCTGTGTGAGGAGCTGGTAAGTCGCTGTGTCCAATCACCGCTCCAGTTCTGGGACACGTCCCAGTGGCAGGGAGCAGTGGGGACCCCCCACCCACGTGAACGTGTCCTGCAGGACCACCCACGCCCCTCAGCATCTCCAGCGCTGGTGTGGGATGCAGAGGAGGGTGTGGAGGGGTCCAGTGGGTGCTGGCCCTGCCAGCATGGGGTCCCTCGTGGCAGAGTGGCTGGGGACAGGCCAGGCAGGGGACACGCTGTGCCTGGGCAGGGGGACCTGGAAGTGTGTGGGGTGAGTGCATCTCCTCAGCGAGTCACAGAATCACAGAATCCCAGCATGGCAGGGGTTGGCAGGGCCCTCTGTGGTCCCCCAGCCCAACCCCCTGCCCAAGCAGGGTCACCCAGAGCAGGCTGCACAGCACCGCGTCCAGGGGGGGCTGGAATATCTCCAGAGAAGGAGACTCCACAGCCTCCCTGGGCAGCCTGGGCCAGGGCTCCGTCACCCTCAGAGGGAAGAAGTTCTTCCTCGT